CCCCCCCCTCTCTCTCTCTCTCTCTCTCTGTCCCCAACCGTCCCCTCACACACGCACCCCATTTACACAGGACGCTCTATGCAACGCGATTAGCCCGCTCCCCCTGACGGCAGTGGAGTGTTTGACAGCGGTGATTGGGTGGGTAGCAGGATGTGGCGGTGCGCGGTGTTGGCGCTGGTGCTGGCGCTCGCGGTGCCCTGCCGGCCCGAGCAGTGCGTCCTCGAGCCCCCCGTGGGGGTCACCAACTCGCTGCGCTCTCCGGGGGACGGCGGCTTTGCCCTGCACATCTCCGGGGACCCGGAGCGCTACGTGTCGGGATCTGTATACACGAGTGAGTTCATTAGGCTATGATTTGCGTTTTTGGTTTGTTTTGTTGACGTTATTTATTGTCTCATCCCAGGGAGCATTTAAAATGTGGTTGCGAGGCAGGGGGCGGGGGGAATGCACTCACAAGAAAACATTTTCAGGTGTAAATCTCCGATTTCGTTGGAACTCGGAAAATTTAAAAGTTATTTTAAAGTTTAATTTTCCTAAACCTCACAGTTACTAGTGGTTTACTTTAGCCGTACACTGTTTTTTGCCCCAAATAGTATCCCTCTACCACCTAAACCGTACAATATAGAACAGAACGGACAAAAGTTTGGTTCGAAAAGGGGGCTACTTTGACGAGTTACCCCTAAGGGCACTGCTATACGTTTTCCAAAAATATCCTTCTCAACAACCTGATCCCTGTTCTATATAGGGTAAAACTAATTGTGAGGTTTAGGATGATTTTCCAGTGCCATCCGATTTCTACAAATACAACCTTCACATTTTCCAAGTTTCAACGAAATCGGAGATTTACACCAAAAAAGGTTCCCTTGTCAGTCTCCACTAGTCTCGCGCCTCGCCTCTCGACACCATCGTGCCGTTCGTCGTCATGCTAGAGTGTGCTGTTCGTGTCCGCAGTCTCCATCTCGGCGCCGGCCGGCAAGACCTTCCGCCGCTTCCTGCTCACCGTGGAGCCCGCCGAGGCCGAGGCGGTGGGCCGCCGCTGGGCCGGCAGCTTCCAGCTGTTCCAGGACCCGGCCGTGCAGTTCCACCCCATGTGCATCAACGCGGTGAGCGAGGGTGAGACGCCCGAGCCCGCGGCGCGCCACGAGGTGCAGACCATGTGGCGCGCGCCCACCTCCGGCTGCGTCCGCTTCAAGTGCGTAAGAGACCCCGCAAGGCCCCCTCGTCGTCGCCCACCCCCCTCTGCCGCCCCGAGCAGGTCGCCGTCAATGACGACGACATCGTGTTGACAGGGCGATGGTGCAGGAGGACGAGGCCCTGTGGTTCGCCGAGGAAGGCGCCCTCGGCGTGACCCTGTGCGACCTGGTGGCGGTCCCCGAGGCAGCCGCCGAGTCCGACACGCAGGAGTGCTGCGCCTGCGACGAGGCCAAGTACAAGGTCTGAGCTCCCCTCCCCAGACGTGAGGCCTTATTGAAAGGACTCGTCATTGACAGGAGCCTTATTGAAAGGACTCGTCATTGACACCCACTTTGTGTTTGCAGTTTATATTCCAGGGCATCTGGTCCAGCGAGACCCACCCGAAGGACTACCCGACCTTCCTGTGGCTGACGCACTTCAGCGACGTGATCGGCGCCTCCCACGAGGCCAACTTCACCTTCTGGGGCGAGGGGCAGATCGCCTCGGACGGCTTCCGGCAGCTGGCCGAGTGGGGCTCGGTGGGCTGGCTGGAGCGGGAGCTGCGTGCCAAGGTGGGCGGGAGGAGCCGAGGGCTCACCCAAAGCGATGCTAAGGGGTCACCCAGAAAGTGCGTCCAGTCCGTCATTCGCCGTAACGAAACTAGCCTAGGCAAGCTCTCTTAAAGCGCCTGGTAGGTAGGCAACATCCTGCCTGCAGTGCATGTGTGCACTGCGGGGTGGCCCACCCGGAGTTTCGCAGGCGCCGAGATCGACCGTTTGCCCGGTGAATCTAAAGGGAAAACGGACGCACTTTGTAGACGATCCCTATGGGGACGGAGGGAATAATCGGAGGGAGCTTGTTGCAGTCCCAGCACCTGCGCAGCCTCATTAAGGCCGGCGGGCTGTGGCACCCGCGCGTCAACCAGAACACCAGCGCCACCTTCAACGTCGACAAGCGGAGGCACCTCGTCTCCCTGGCCTCCATGTTCGGTAAGTTGTACTGCGATCCTCATTAATATGCTCTCTTGCATATAATTCCCTACAGTTTTCGACGAAAGTGAGAAAACGTTTCCATCTCCCTGTAGTCGGATTTTGTAGAGACGCCGCCCTTTTGTTACGCTGGGGGCGCCAACTGCTTTCAAAACGGGTGAAGGGTGCAGGGCTCCACTCTGCCCCTTTGTTATCGGCACGTAGTTGAGTCCGGGTAACTCTGCAGACCCCACCCCTTTCCCTTCCCTCTCCCCAGATCGGTCTGAAACGGGATGCCGAATGGATGCCCACGCATTCGTCTATTGTGGATTCTCTCAGGGAATAGTGGGGGGAAACGGGGGGTGGGGCGCAGATGGGGTGGTGAATAGCATGGAGCGGGAAGAAATGATGTAAAGCGGAGATGGTGAGCAATGTAGGCACTACTCGGAAGGGCGTTGAGGAGGGAGGGGGTGGAAATAATCACTGGGAACTAATAAGATGGGCGTTAAGGGTAAGAGCGACAGAGGGGGAGGCAGTACACAGCGAGCCTATGGTCTGCGTAACAAATAGCTTCATCTCACGATAGGATCGTGCCGGGTGGAATCTGATTAACACAAAAGAAACAGGTAACTACGTTTTGTGCCAATGAAACGAGGGGGGTGGGAGAGCTGAGGGAGGCACTCTAGGAGCGCGATAGTCTGGACCAAGACGGCGACACTGACTGACGGGGCGCCATACTCAATTAACAAGGACGGTCAATAGCCCAGCCCCGCCACACCCCGCCCCGCCCC